AGGAAGGAAGGAAGGAAGGAAGGAAGGAAGGAAGGAAGGAAGGAAGGAAGGAAGATGGAATTGCTGGGCATGGCATTCTTGCTCCACTAGGAAGATAATCCAGTTGAAGCAGTGTCTTGGAAATAGTGAGGCAATGCCAGTCTGATGTCAAAGAACAGTTTTGTACCTTTCTCTGTGGCCTTTCTCTGTGGCCTTTCTTATCCTCACCTTTGAACAAGCTGCAGCTTCTTTATAATTTACTCATCTATGGAACAGCTACTTCACACTTTCTGAATACTGAATAGCTTCTTTAATCAATGTGGTTATGGGAAGAGGTCTCTCCTACCTTCCAAGTTACAGTTATATTTCCTGCCCCTTAAATAATTCCTTACTGCAAAAGAATAGGAATGGGCTATAGGATTTCTCTCTTCCCAGCAAGTATGGCTTGGAATCATTATACTTAATTACATTATGTCTAGGCAACTGTTAATAATGGTTATTACTAGCCAAGAGTGACATAACTTAAAATTTTCAGTTAGAATGGCCACTGATTATAAGTCCTGTATCTTTAAACAGTTGTGGTGATTTCGGTATCCCTTTTTGGCAGATCTGATGGTGGAGTTCATTATAACGCACATGATGAAAGAATTTCCTATGGATCTCTATGTGTGAGTAACAGCTAGATGAATGGGCCATGAAACAAACATACATTCAGCAGCTATCATATTATCTTGTTTTTCTTGATTAGCCTGAAACTCTGGTTAATTTTAAGGATTCTCCAAAATTCCAAATGAGATGTTTCTGTTCAGTCCATCAAAAAATTTTAAAAAATGAATTGCATCCCCCCTTTTCTTTTCTAAATTACTTAACAGAATATGATAGTTGCTTATCCTCAAAGGGAATGGTATGGTGGGTTACAAACCATTGTATGTAAAAAGTTAGGGCCCCCTGGTCAAATTTTATAGTTTTAATGAATCCTTAAGTGAACAGAAGCTGACACATCCTCTCCATGGTACAAAGTTAAACATGACATCTTTCTGCAACTTGGAATGCACACTTACTATTTATGTGTAGATTGTATCTATTCAAAATAAGGAAAAGTGAATATGGCAGGTGCAGATGTTTTGACAGCCTTTCATTTAGTATTTTTTTAATACCAACTTTGGCAGAAATAATAGCTTCCAAATGTTTCCTGCAGCTTTTATTTTTGCTTTTGGAATTTTTCCCACTCTTTCTTGCAGAAATCCTCTAGTTCAGAAATATTCTTAGAATCTTTGCATGTATTACTTGTTTGAGATACCCCACAGATTTTCAATAATATTCATATAACATAATTTTAAGCCATAATGAGTGATTCCTATATCACATTAAGCCAAAATGAACAAGCCACACTACAGTTTAGCATTATGTGTGAACCAGGGTGAGCTCATAGTAATGCTGAGTATATGATATTGTAATGTGTTAGAGTGCTATAGCTTTGAAATTTCTATGAGTTCACATAGATTTTGTTAATTCTAAATGGTCTGGTTAATATAATGTGCTAAGCCTCGTTAATTATGATTTATTGAATAAACTATTATTAAGTTCAGGGAACATGCTAAGTCATAAATCATGATTTACAAGTATTAGTGGTTGGGTTCATGCAATACACAAAGCCAAAATAATAATAATCGTATTTTGCATTTGGTGTAACATGTGAACCCAATCAATATTATATCCAATCATATTCTTGGTATGATTGATTTGAATTCCAAATTTCAAAAGAAGCTCTTAAACACGTTTTATTTTTATTTTTCTTGGAACTTAGGTTATTTATATAGAATGTTACCGAACTATAAATTTCAACCTGCTTCAGATTTCCAGCTAAATACCCCAGAATTTAGTAATTCCACATCTACCCCCTTTTCTTATTTCACACATATCAGTGGGCCTGCAGGTATTCTGAATATCCCATTCTGCTAATTTGACTCACCATTTTATAAGCAATTGGGCATATTAATTTGTTTCAACATTTCCAGCCTTGACCTTACTAGCCACAGTTCTATATGACACATCATTTATGGAGCTAGTTGTTGAAAATGTACATCACTCTCAATTCCATACTACTAATTGTGTTGGGGGTTCCTTTCTTTTTGCTCCAGATGCTGTATTCAAATAGTACACAAGCTGCTTTGCTACCAGAAGAAGTGCAGAGTGAGGCTCCATTACACTTGGAGGGAACTCTGGTCAGGTACGTTCTTAGTCTTATAACTTATCATTTTTACTCCTTCATAGGCTCATTGTTCATGGTTTTAAAATGAGTGTTAAATAACTTACTGCACTGATCATTTATACCACATTTCAGTACTTGATTGTAGGTGATCTCACCTGAAAACATAATTTGGAGAGTCAAGAAAGTAAATTAATTCTTTTAAATTCCAGCTTTGTTTTTTGTTTATGCTGAGACTTTTTTCCATACAGAGAAACCTTTTTATGGGATCCACATTCTAGAACAGAGATACTGTAGATATTCACCTCAACACAGAGCTATCATTTTGGTAGCAGCTCTGTGTTGGGCTCTTTTTCTATGCGTGTTTTAAGCACACTGAATCTGTGTTCTGACATTGTAGGAGGAGAGCCATGTTAGTCTATGGTGGCAAAAAATCAGAAGAAGTCTAATAGCACCTTTTCCAACTAATCAATTTTATGAAAAAGCATAAGCTTTCATGAGCTGCAGTTCACAATAGTTTTTGCTGTTTCATAAAATTGGTTAGTTGGAAAAGGTGCTACCAGATTCCTTCTGATTTTGAGTTCTGTTAATGTGCCATATTTTCTGCTCTCTTATTGTTGGCAAGATATTGAAAGATATGGAAAACTAAAGAGGGATGTGGGTGGTCTTTTCATAGCAGCTGTGTCAAACACCATGTCCTGGATGGAGGTTTACAAGTGAGATGGGGGATATGAAAACTTAATTGTCAGGGATTGGCTTGTATTTTGGAAATGAAATTGATTGCACCAGTAGGTTTATCTAGTCTCTTATTCTGTGTCATTGTTCCATGTTCTGCCTTCACAAAAGTCTCTCATGTCTAAATTTAAGTTTTCTCAAAAAGCTTGGGCATCCTACATATGTCTAAGGAACTGTACCTAATACTTATAGCTTAGGTTTTCAGCAAATTTCTTCCTGGTAATGCTGTTGGAAAGCTTTGTTGAATATTTTTAAAAATACTGTGGATAGCTAGCTAGCAGTCTCCCTTATTGTGACAATGTACAGCTAGAAGAAACTGCTGCCATTGTCTGATCCCACATCGGTTATTAAATATTACCTTTTGTGACATGTAACATTTAGCAGGTTCCTAAATGTATTCTATGCAGACTGTGATATATTAATAAACTGGCTACTAATGAATTGGCAAGATTGCTGTCAGAGCTGATGCTGGAACTAGACTTTCTGGGAGCTCTGTAACTGTTTCTGTAAAAACTTCTACCTCAGCCTCCTACTCCCCACTACCCTCTGTTAGTTGCCTTAGAATAATGAAATAACTGATAAAATAATGTTGTATCACATAGTTTACATCTCTTAAGTATTACAGAAGCATAGGGAGATGTGGAGCTGCTGCATTTAATGCCACCTAAGTAGTTTTTGCAAAATCTAATTCCAGGTTGAAGCTAAGTGGATGTTTACTTTACACAACAAATATGTGGGGAGTATAGAATTATGAAATGATAGGATTTAATAGCCATAGGAGAAAAATAATCTGTACCTATATTGTTAATTACACGTATGGATTGTGCTGGCTTTCTTCACAACTACTTAATTACGAAGAATCAAAGCACTTCATAGCATTCATACTGGAGTGATGGATGGATAAAATTCTGACAACTTAGTTACCACAATGCTCATTAGGCCTAACGTTGAGTCATTGAGTCTAGTTCAGCCAAGAAGACTCTAGATCAGAGATGATTGATTTTTGTTGTCTGGATGGTTGCATCAAGCTTTGCATAGTACTGAAGAAGAGTCTTCTCCTATATCTACCTACCTTGACCCTAAGATCATCTAATGAGGCCCTCTACCAAGTTCCTCACCAAAGGAGGTGAGGTGGGCCTCTACAAGGCGGGGGAGGCGGAGCTTTCTCTGTGATGATACCCCATTTGTGGAATTCCCTTCCCAGGGAGGCTTGACTGGCATCCACACTAGCATCATTTCATTTACAGGTGGAAAACCTTTCTATTTTCTCAGGCTTTTAACTTGCATTGATTTGTGTTTTAATTGGATTTTAATGTTTATGTGGTATTTTTATTTTGCATTTTATTGTATATGTTTTTATTCAATTTGTATTTTTTATGTGATTTATCCAGAGAGTTTTGGATAAAGTTTAAATAGATAAAGGTTGAGAGCTACACCCCTCCACCAAATAAGCTGCACATTATACAACCATCACTATGCCTGAAGTTAGAACTAGGTGAATTTAGGATATTGTGGACATCTGCAGCTAGATCTTTAACTTGTCTGACTAAGCATGTTGTGTAAATCCATCCTACTTGTTTATAACAGGAGCATTCAAAACTAGAGTTTTATAAATAATTAATTAGTTAATTATTGATTGTAGTGATCTTGTACTGTATAAACAGATTCATATAGTGGGAGAAATCAAGGGTTTATCTAGACCAAAGTAATTTTCTAACCACTTAATTTTTGTTCCTGAATTCATTCAACATTGGAATGCAATTAATTTTAGCAATAGTAATATATTAGGAATAGTATATTACTATAATTAGGAATAACATCTTTGATTTTAATGTGTGACTTGATTTGTTCTGTAACATTGTACCTTGCATTCTCTCTGTGTTCTATTATCACAAACCTAATAATAATGTGATACTTAATTTTTAAAGAATAGTGTTATTTTTGTGCTGTTTTTTCCCCTTTACATGGAAAAATCTTTGTAACCATAAATATAATTTATAAAATAACTAAATAAGATTGAGAACAGATTAACCTGCTTTATTTTTCAGATCTGCTTCAAAGCTTTTTTCCATCTTACCTTGTGCTAAGAAATTAGAAAGATAATTATTGAGAAGAGGGCCTTTTTACTGATAGAATCTCATATGTTCTCAGATTACTAAGGCATGTTTGCTAATGTATGTAGATCTTTTCTATTTACTCAGGCTTTTAAAAATTGTATTTCTGCTGATATAGCATATTTATTTCTATTTAATAGTGTTTAAAAACCAACTATTTTAACTGTAATGTTACAGTTTTTAGTAGATTATATTGAGTAACTGCTGGTAATCATAACAACAACAATAAATGTAATAAATTGAATAAATGTTCTATGCATTTACCAAGGCATAGAACAAAACAAAAATATAATAATTACAAGTCAATACAATACAATGAAATTAGCTCAGACACCAGTAAAGAAATATTAACACTAAAACAACTAACAAACAGTACATTTAAAATAACATCCTGAAATAGAACTGAGTATATATTCATCCATAATAATTTAAAACTAATTTTAACCTGCAACTGTTGCAACCCACATCAACTAGACTTCATCCTAAAACACTATGGTCTGGTAGTCCTTCAGATTTGAAGACACACTGTTGTGCAGTTCATCTGTGAATACGGAAGCGGCTCTGCGGTTCCAGTCTGGAAGCGCAGAGTCTAGCACAATGGAGGCACTGGAAGTCCATTGTTGCAGTAACTGTGGGTGTTCTCCTGTGATACTGCTCATGGTTTTCTATAGGTTTTTGCCAGCGCTTGTCTTCAAAGCTGGTGGAGGCCTCATAGCACAGGGCTCGCCAGTGGGTTTTGTCAGTAGCTGTAGCTTCTAGGTCCCTTGGCTGGATGTCCCAGTGGTGTAGGATTCCTTTCACAGTCTTTGTACCACTTGCATGGACAACCTCAAGGTCTCTTCCCAGACTCAATGACATTATAGAGCAACTGGCAAGGCATACGGTGGTCATCCATTCTGATGACGTTTTACACCCACTGCATCTGGGCTCTAATAATCAGGGATTCGATGCTGGTGGACTGCGTGATCTAAGATCTCCAGGTTGGAGACATAGTCTTGCCAACGAATGCAAAGGATGAAGTGAAGAGCACACATGTGAAATTTCTCCAGTTGTTTGAAGTGTTGTTGGCACAGAGTGCACGACTCACATCCATATAGGAGAGAAGGGATAACCACAGCTCTGTAGACTTTCAGCTTTGCAGAGATAGGGATGTTATGTTGGTTGAGCACTCTAGTACGCAGCGGCCGCAGAGCCTGGCTGGCCTTGCTGATCCTGGAGTCAAAGTCTTTGTTGAAAGACCCATCACTCGAGATAATATTTCTCAAGTATTTGAAGCTGTATACATTTGTCAGCTGGGTGTTGACAACAGTGATTTTTGGTTCTAC